TATTTTGTCTCGTGTCAATTATATCGTCAGTTATATCGTTATCACAAATTTTCAAATGTATATTGTGATAAATATTTTTGGTGCCTGCTCTACATACAACATGCAGCCTCAAACCACCAAAACTAAAATTCTCTTGGTAATTTTTCATCCAGCATGCTTTATGTCTGGTCTTTGCACAACTTTGCTTCCTGTCTCTGCTGTTCCTTCAGTGACCTTTTGCAGCTTAGTCCTGTTTCTCAGACATTTTATACATAAAGTTTCCTTTTCTCATGTTAGTTTTGCTAGTTGTTGTTGTTGTTGTTGTTGTTGTTGTTGTTATTATTATTGTTATTATTATTATTATTATTATTATTATTATTGTTCTCAGAGCCAGTTTTTACAATGACAAATAATTGAACCCTCTGTGTTGATTTCATTAATATTTTCTCTCCATTTCAGTCATTAACATCAGTATGGGTTCTCTTCTTACTTAGATTAAGTGTAGTTTGTTGAACCAGCATCTCCATCAGTGTGTGTGTGTGTGTGTGTGTTGCCTTACGTTGTTTTGCATGTGTGTAACTTTAGAGCCGCCCTGCACTACAAACGCCAAACATGAGGCTTATGAGTGAGTGTGTGCTGTGGTCGTGTCGTGTAGTGAAAACAGTGACCTGGCTGCTGGTAAAGTGCAGAGAGACGCTTGTGAGGTAAATGTCTCTGTGTGAGCTTCTAAATCGAGATGAACAACAGTGACTAATCTCCTCACCTCAGACTCCAACACGTATGCCTGTCTACTGAGAAATAGAGGCTGTAAGAAGAAGGTCACCTCTCCATCTCTCTAACACACACACACACACACACACACACTGTGTTAACACTTTCTTTTTCACCTTCAGCCTCCCATTGTTTATAAAGCCACAATCAGAGGTTATTACAGTCCTGTTCTACTTATTTGGAGTAATTTCCTGTTGCACGCAAAACTGAGCACAGTGTGACCCTCTTTTAATTTTTGGATCCATGAAACATTACGTTTTATGTGTAAAGGTAACCACAAGGAATGCAGAATTAATTATTTTACACCAGGGAATGTCTCTTTTCAGTCTCTTTTTCAACAACAAGTGCTGTATTGTGCAGTTTTTCAGGCTAAACTGGGTTAGAGAAGTTAAAATGTAGTCCCTGCTGGGTAGTGAAGTCATAAAAATATTGTTTGACAGAAGCAGGCACAGGTAAATCTCATGAATTAATGTAAATGAAGTGCTGCTTCATGTGGACAGGGACCAATTTCCTCTCATGAATTCTCCGGCTTTAAAAAAATGTTTTATATTTGCATTGAGACTGAGTTAATCTATTATCCCTCCCATCTCGAGCTCTACTGGCTAATCCACTGAGCACTAAGCAGCTTTTACTGAGAGATTGTGGCAGGTCAGTCTGTCAGTTTTAGCTCGCTTTCATACTAGTTTACTTCTGACTTTTATTTGCTGTGGCAAGTTCAGTAGGTTATTAATCCAACAGAATATGTCATACATGCAACATGAATTAAGGCATAAGCTGAAATAGCAGTTACTCTGTCTTCTTACATTAGCAGGAGGCAGAAAGAGCTTTCTGACAGTATTGTTTCTACTGCGTGTGGTAGATTTGGTGTGTGTGTCTGTAAGCTTTTGAAGCAGTATGCGGTGGCTGCAATGAAGAAAAGCTGGTATGCTAACATTCTCAGAACTGAGGTTTTCACTGCAGCGTTTCCTGCTGCAGACAACGGACACTCTGCAGATGTTACTTATTAATGTTAATAATTTAGCGTCCAGCCTAGCAGCCCCAGATCAGTAGCGTTTTACTGGCCTTCATAATTATTTTATATCTCTAATAGTCTAAATCTGCAAAATAATGTGACTGAAGACTTGAAATAAACATGATTCAGTACACATGCATGGGGTGGTTGGCTCACAGCAATAGAAAGTGGGACGGCTGCTGGAACACATGATATCAGACTAAGTTAACAGTTCATGTTTCTTTTTCTTTTTTCTGTAGCTCTACTGTAAGTTTATTTAAGGGCAGCTTTTTCCCACTAAAGGTTTTTATGGTGGTTACAAGAACAGGCACTGATGTTTCACATGCTAGGAAAACAGGTTTGTTTCCACTTCACCTGAGCTCACTCAGTAATGGCTCTTCTCACAGTAGAAGCTGTAGCCGACTGTCGTTTTGCACTGTGTCATTGCGTTTGTCGTCGTCTTATTGACTCCCTGCTTTGTCCGTGTGAATGCAGGCGTCTCCTCTGCTACCTTGTTGCACTCCAAGTCCCTGCGAGGCCACAGAGACTGCTTTGAGAAATGTCATCTCATTGCCAACCAGAAGCTGTCACGATCCAAGGTCTCCCGGAGCGCCTACGAGGGCATGAAGCTGGCCCTCAGCCAGAAACTGAACCGCATCATTCAGTACGCCCAGAACAAAGACTCCGTCTCCTCCAGTGGCCCGAACAGACGGGGGGCTAAGCTTCTGTGTTACGGCCAGCAAAATGACCGCAAGCTGCTCCCCCAGTCGGACGCCCAGGTGCCCCGCTACACGCCCTGCTGGGACACGGGCAAATCAACAGGGCCGGCTGACTACACGATGGGTATGCTGGAGCGCCACACAGCCGAGGAGCTGGGACTGCTGCAGGAGTCGCGTTCTGACGTTTGGTCCAACGACAGCAGGAGAGGTCTTCACAGCCGGAAGCCATCAGGAGGAGGACAGCAGCGCGCGCACCAGGGTCACAGCAGAGAAGAGCGTAAGCACATTTCTTCTTTTCACAAACAAACTTTAGCAGACTTTGGTTTTATCGATTTGTTTTTCTTCTTCTTTTAAAAAAGAAAAATACATCTGTCAGCAGAAAAGGAAAGCTGCTCTCGCCTCTCACATTTTTCAGTTTTATCTTCAAAAACCTCAGCGTGCACAACAGCAGAACGTTTTTACTCTGTCCTTCATCTTCCTCTTAGCTGCGATCTCTCCAGAGAGGGGTTAATTTTCCTCTAACCTCGAGATAGGCTGTGTCCTTGGCTGCTTCACGTCTCATCTCCAGTAAAGCTGTTTATAACTACAGATCCTGCAGGGATGTGACTGAGCCTGTTAGAGGCCAGCAGTTTTCAAATTCTCTGCTTATAAATGAAAGATGACAGGCAGTTCACAGGTACGCTGTTTAAACTGTGGATGTTTCCACATGAGAACAGCATCACCCTGTGACACTCGAGATTGCACCGACCTTTGCAGTTATTTAAACCGAGCAAATGAAGTGTTAGTGCTGATTATTCACAATTTATGACATCGACAAGTAGCACAAGTTTGCAGCATGTTTAGAGTCTTTTCTTATTGGCAGCTAAATGACGTCCACTGTGCTCACACACCATTAAAAGTGATCTCTTTTCTTTTAGTGACTAAAATGAGTGTGGATGAGCTCCATCAGCTAAACGCCCAGCTACTCCTGCAGATTCAGAGTAAGTGTTTTTACTGATATCCTGATTGAACAATTGAACAGTTCCTTTCACAGAAGGCTCAGCAGTCATAGTCGTCTATATTTTAAGCATTTTTTAAAACCTTTGCTTCAGTGTGAAATCCTCCTCTCTGATAAATCCCCACATGAGATTTTTGGTGCCCTCAGGAAAAAAGCTGCTCTAGTGAAAGGGTCTTTTTAATTCCCAGTCTGACTTCTAGCTCCCCGATTCAGAACATAATACTCAATAAATTAGTGCCTGAAATAGACTAAAAGCCTTCTGGTCAACACATCATCTCCTTGAATCCACTGTTAGAACCATCGTTTGCTGCTACAAGCATCTTATCTCAGCTTTCTTATCTCAAGAGTCCAGCGCATCATGTGACCTCTGAGTGACCGATCACACAGCTGCTTAAATGAGCAGCTCAATCATTATTAAACTCTTGTTATTTTGTTTTCTTGATTCTTTTGGATGAGTAAAATCATTCTTCTTGCTGCCAAGAGGCAAATTACCTGAGCTAATGTGAGATATCGTCCTCAAAAGTCGTCTAGTGGGAGCGTGTCCTGCACATTTTTGTTCACCCTTTAAGAGCAGTCACTTCCACAAATGTACCCAGAGCAGATGGGGATGTTAATTGCTCATGTTTAATAATTTGAAAGACCACATAAGCCCGCCCGTGATTTAATGATTTGCAGTGTGTTTCATTTTGGATACATTTTAATGTCCATAAACTTTGGAATGAGTCTTCCTCAGTGCTGCGTAACACCGTCCTTGACTTGTCTCTTTATTAAAAAGATGATTTCTCTAA